AATTTTTTCACACGTAATATAGCTAATATCTTCCATTTACAATCATCAATATTGCATTTGACAATCATCTTCTTAGGACCGTTTCTTACAACTATGTAACCAAATTCATGAGCAAGGCTGTATTTATATAGTGCTTTTATGAATACAATTGCATTATCAAATATCTGACCAATGCCCATAAATAAATCCTTCCATCTTATTGAATTAACATCAGGGAGTGGTGCGAGAGCATTTTGTATTGAACATGGCAAAGAGAGTGATGTACTTTCAAGCTCTTCCTTACAAGGAGATCCTGACAATGACCATAGTAAGAAATCCTCCATCCTACATTCAGAATTACTCACAGGTCAATATAAATGGTGATTAGACTAATTAAAAACACAAATAACTAAGAACAACAACTTACTCCATCAAATAATTCGTTGTTCCATGTATTTCATTATCATTTCTCTCAACATATACATGTACTGACTTATCATTATACTTTATTAAATGTTGCACTCCCTCATCATCTAACAAATCTATATATGTGTTTTCACTAAACTTCACTGTAAATTTTAAGTCAGCTACTCTTGTCACTGATAACACAATCTTCAACAACTCTTCATGATTCATGCTTTCTCTAATGAATTTAGAAATTAATCTCCCACCTTCATAAGTCATCTTTCATTGTGAATATTTTACAAAATGTCCTTTAATGTGAAAATAATAAAATACTTCTTTTACTGAAGTACTTATCATATAGGAAATGAACCTGAAATAACTAGAAGCAACATACAAATTTATTATCTCAGAACTATCCTTCCCATAATTTCGTGACTACAACAATTGAACATCCATGTTATATTTTTCAATATTAACACACTTTTCATCACAAAATAGAAAAATTCAGTATCCATGTTACATTTTTATTGTTTTTCACTCAAATTTTTTAATTGTATCATTCTCAAAAATCATTTATTGTTTTTGTTTATAAATATAATCTATTTATCACCAAGAAGATTACTTTTTTTTTTCTAGCCGTAAAAGAAAAATGATGTAAGATAGCATTTACAAAGATATAAACATTCTTTCATGCATGCATGACGAGGAGATGTAAAAGTTAGAGAGGAAATTGTAGATTTTTCTTGTGTGCATGATAGAAGAGAAGATGTAAAAAAGTGATGCATGTAATTACTTATTACCAAGAGAGAATAAGATGATGACCCAAATAATGATCCACTCCACTAATTTTGTGCCCACATTTTTTACACACGAGAGCACATTAGAGCAAATTTTTCATGCCCAAAATCAAGAAAATAGAGAACACGAGATCAGCTATTTTGCTGTTACCTTTTAGTGTTTAGTGAAGGGGTAATTTTGTAAAGTTAGCTATGTTTTTTATTCCAAGATTTCTATATTTTATGGTTCCCAACTAGGATTAATGTCCTTAAGGGATCCTTAATTGTCATTTTCCCAATTTACTATCATGATTCTGCTCTAAGGATGCAATTTTATCGTCTCTTTTTAATACAAATTAGAAAGATATGTGAAGTAATGAGTGATATCTAGGATTGTCTACAGAATTTGAGAACACTTGTAGAATTGCATATCTTCCCAGTCGATCCTATTGATAGAGTCATAAACAACAAGTACATACTCTTCAAAATAATAATAATAATAATAATAATAATAATAATAATAACCATAGAGATGTTTTTGATGCGCATGTGAAAGAGTCATAAACAACCAACAGACGCTCTTCAGAAATCTAACACCGATTGAAAATTAATAATACATTTGTATAGACATTCAATTTTTTAAAATATATAATTCATCAATACGTCATGAATTAGTCTTCATTTTGATAATCCTGGAAGAGAAAAGTTATATGTAATTTATTGTATGTTTTGGATGAAAATGACACACATATATATCAAAATTTGAAGACTTTACCATATACGGTAAATTAAATGTCTTTAAATTGAGTTTGGTATTTTCCTTACGAGATGAATATCACTAAATTAACAATTATCATTTGCTCTCTACACACAAGCATAATTTGTTATATTTTTATTTTAGCCTGATACACACACACACACACACACCCACCCCGGTGATCATGATGATCTTTATGTTCCTTTATGTTCGATTTCTAAGTTGAAAACAAATATGAGAATGAGTGAAGCTAGTCCCCCTGAGAGAAACGAATATGATTATATGAGAATGAGAAATACAAGAGAAAAAATTCCTCCAGAAAATTATGTTGATATCACAGAGATACTTAGATGTTGATTTACCTTAAATCTAACTAGATAATTTTTAACTAATCTTATGAGTAACGACCAAATTAATTAAAACAACGCAATATATATCCAGTAGTATTGAGAAATAAAAACATCAATATGACAGTAAATATAAATTAATTCTATCATTAATGATGGTAAAGAGAGACAAGATAATAAATTAAAGAGGCGTTATATTTCAGAAATAAAATTATTAAAAATAATAATGCATTTGATTTTATATAATTAAACTGGTTGGTGTAATATGATATATTTTTATTGATTAAAGGATGCATAACGTGGTGGATCTGAGTCCATACAAAAATTTTTCTAATTGCACAATAAAAAAATAGTAATAAATGATAGAGAATCATTTTTGTCACCAAGTCACTTATTATGATTGGAATTACATCATCATTATTTTTGGGAATTGGTTGTGGTGCTCATCATGTAATAAGCAATCTTGATTGTTCATTCACAGGTTGAATTTTATATTTTATATTTATTAAAATAAAATTTGTAAAATTTTTTTATAAATCTACTTTATTAGCTATCTAGACAATACATATTTAATTTAAATGGTCTAACTTTTTTTGATAAAAAAATTATAATATTTTCTATGCAATTTAATATTAAAAGATTTTTTATACATTTAGATATATGCGGGTCAATCTAGATTTAACACTAAATTTTTTTAAATTTTTATTTTAATAAATATAATACTAAAAACAAAGATAATCACTAAACTGACACTTTAAAAAAATTAAAAAATAGTTACAAGTTAAAAATTTTAAAACAGGACTATCAATAGTTCTAGATAGTTAATTTAAAAAATTTAATATTAAACTAGGCCATCAAAATTTAATCTTTACTAAAATTTTATAATTTTTATTTTAATAAATATAGAATAAAAATATTAAAAAATTCTATGAATCTAGACCATTCAGATTAAAAATTTGAACGGTCCAAATTTCTCATCACATGATGAGGAGTGAGGATCATGATGGGCACTGAAAGCCAACTCCATTTTTTGTGGAATTTGAAAGGTAAAAATCACAGTAAAATCCATAATTTAAAACATCTTATTAACTTTTATTTTGAAATTTTAAAATTCTTTGCTTTAAATTTCATTGAAAAACAATATTTCAATTCAAATACATAAATTTTCTCCCTTGATATATATATATATATATATATTGGTTTCTAAATATTAAAATTAGACTGAATTAAACTTTTTTTTTTGCTTTTGCGTCCGTTATTCATGGGGTTAATTGCCAGTGACTACGACTAATATGGATTAGATCCGGAGTTCTGGCTGGTGACTAGGCATATCACTCCCAAATTTTTTCGTCACCAATCTAATTCTCGAAGTGAATTATAAAGTTGTGATTAAAGTAATCTGTGGAATTTGTGGACGAAAAATGCTGGAATCATTGGCGGAGAAGACAGCAAGAAGAAGGGAAGAAGCCAAAATGGTGGAGGAGGAGTTAAAATCAGCGTTAAAGAAGCTTGACAAAATCATGACCATGGCTGAGAACTTGAAGAAATTGGATCTTGAAGCCGACAAGCAACAAATTTCCAACGATGCTACAAGAAGGAAACAAGTAAGTATCTTAATAACTCGTATGGTTTAGCTCTGGAGATAAAATTCTAAATGATAAACAGCACATGTCAATTAGATGTAAGCTAGGCACTATAAATCTTGTACGTAAATGTGATTATACATGCAGCAACCATAGTGGCCGCTGATTATATAGTTGCATTGTTTTATTCTTATATATATATATATATATATATATGTATGTATGTATGTATGTATGTATGTATGTATGTCTTCCCATTTATTTGTCATGACTTGATAATTGTTTGGTAATCATGGGATTTGTACAGGAAGAAGCTCAAAAAGAGAGAGTAGATATGTACAAGATGATTGATGAACTTACCAGAGGAGAAATTCATCTAACAAGTTATGAGGAGGACGCTGATAGCCAAATGAATTCTAATTAGGGTTTCTAATCACAATTTTGGGGTCTTGTTGGGGAAAAATAATCATTTTCTTGAGGTTTCTTTTTGTTCCATTACTATAATAATAGAGACCAAAAACTATGATGCTGAAGTTAAGGAATACAGTTGATGATATTTAGAAGCATCTATCAACAAGCTCTTTCAGGTGTTCCTTCTTTTGTGGATCTGTTAGTTGGAGGATCACTTCTTTTTCTTTATTGTCTGTATCATGTGGGTTTGATTTTTCTTTCTGTTTGTGAGCTTGGGATAATATCCTAGGCATTGTTATAATCGTTTTATCATTTTCTTGTTAATATAATTTTCTCTTTGATTTTTAAAAAAAGGACAGAAAAAGATTCTACATAATTTTCGACCCCAAAAATTAAGTTTCGTACGCGGCGATTCGTATTTTTCTTAATGTCATACCAATAGTTTTAAAATATTGCTTCATAAATTTTAAAAAGTATTAACTGCATCAAATATTTTTTTTCAAAAAAAAACATAATTATAAATATGATTCTGGAGGGTATTGATTGTAACTTAATACTTATTCTTTTTTTGTAACTAAAAAAATTGACTGCTAAAGTTGTTAACCATCAATATGTTATGATTCACCAATTACAGTCATGCGCCTTTCTTTAATTTTCTTTATATATATATATATATATATAATACATATATTGGTAAAATGAAAATAGAAATTGTGCGACGCAGAGAAGAATAGGACTCTTATATAAAGGATCCATCTTACGGACTGGACTTGATATTTCTTGCGTTGTAATCAAACTCATTTGTCAAGAAATTAAGAAGCGCCACCGATGTTACGTCGTAGTTGGAGCTTGCTTTCCACTGATGGCCTCCGGCGAAGGGATGCTTCTCCGGTCGATCTACGGAGCTGCAAACAAAGATCTCAAAGCTTCTCATGGTGAGTTTTCAGAAACACATGCTTAGTATTTATGATTATTGATGCTATATATGATTATATATTATCCTGGCATAAAGCTGTTGATCTGATCTTTCTTTAATTTCTCTCGTTAATCCCTCAAGAATTAGCATGTTTGGTAGCTGTTTGATTTTTGTTAAATTTTATGTTCTTTTGTAGAATTTGGTGGTTTGAATGACGGCGTTTCTTTTAGTCTTGAAATCAAAACATATTGTGAATGATAAAGAATTCTTTTTCTTGCCGAATCAATCCATGACCATTAATCCTATCAATTATGCTTCAAGTCTTCTTGTTTATCTTTCAGTTATAACGCACGTAGTTATATCTGATCAAATAACAGATTTAATCTGGTTGGTGCAGTCGTGAGATGAGTAAAGAACTGAGAGTGTTGGACAGTTTTGAGCTACGACACGATGCAAGACTGGCAAAAAATAGAGCTTTGCGGGTCAGAATGCATAAAATGTTAGCGCTAAAGAATCACTCAATAGATATCTGGACAGCCCGGATTGAAAAGTTCGTCGATAATCCTGTACTTTCTCACGTAAGTAACTTCATTTATATTAATTATTTGAATAATCTTGTAAGGCATCTGCTTCTTGTGGAGTGTTCACACTTTGGCCTTGTCACTGCCGACTATTATGATCACAAGTATTGACTGAGATTTCCTTTCTGATTACCTTCTATATGGTATGATTACTGGCAATAAACTCATAAAAACTTGACAACATATCAGCCAGATTTCTACAGTCCTTAATCATGCAGTTGCAGATCATGTATTTTATAGCAAGACTGGGCATAGGGGTATAGTAATCTGTGCTTTAAGATTTAAAATTTCCTTAGGAAGTAATAGTGAGTGCTAAATTGTTAATTACCTGTGTTACCAACCAGTAATGCTGTTTTGTGATCTTGTTTGTGATGATGGCATTGTATTATATTCTTAATTACAGGATGAAAAGGAAATGATTCGAGAAGAGTTGAGCAAGAGGATTGTCGAAGAAATTGAAACTGATAAGGAGAAGCAAGTAATATCATACTTACGTGGGATTCAAAATAAGGAGGAAGAATATCTTGAGAAATTGGAGATTATTCGTACCGTGCAATTCCTGATAGTCCGCCGACAAAATCAAGAGCCTGTGACGAAGGAATCACCAAAAGCCCAGTCTTAATTACTGCAAAAAATATCTAGGTTTGATGATTTTTTACTCAGGTTTAAGTGTGATTTTTTTTTTTTGGGGTTGATTTTAGAGCTCATAAAGAGCTAGCTGTGTAGGATAAACCCTGAGTAAAAAAGATATAGCTCCTTCAAACTCCACATGAAAATGTAATAGTTCATTGATGCAGCGGTTTGCTGAATTTTGGAAGTTCATTGATGCAAATCAAAATGTAATAACCTCACGTATGGTTGAGCTTCTGGGTCTGGCTTGTAAAAAGGCTGTATCTATTTCTTCTGATTACTCTGATTACAGAACTCAATTGTATGGAATTGGTTGAGTTCTTTTTATTTTCTCATGCTTCTGCGTTGTTTGGTCTCTGTCCCCTTAATTGGCTTAAGACTACGGTTATCTTTGTCCCCTGAACTTTGTTGAGATTGATATTTCCCTGTTGTCTTTTAAAGTACTCAAGGATGGCATGAATGATTATACTAAAACTCATAGAATAGCAAAAACAAGTTGCACTTAGCCTTGAAATGTTTACATTCTGGCTCCAAGTGTTAAAGACTACAAACATTAGCATTTTCTTCTAAAGCCAAAGGGAGCAAATACATATGTAAAGTATGGTGGTCTAAAAGTTCACATTAGATGCTATAATGAAATCTAATCCATTCAAAACTTATTTGGTTGGTCTAGATTTAAAATTCTTATTTATAATTTTAAATATAAATTTATTTTTTTTGAAAATATGCTAGTTGAGAAATTATTTTTATTTTATCTGCCCTGAACAATTGCTATGTATATTTTTTAATAAGTTGTATAAAAACACAAGGGCTACATAAATGTAAAAACGCATACTCTATATTCTTTTTTGACAGATTGCGGGCTCGGATCCTCTCCTCATCCCTTTTCTCCTTTTCTTCTCCTTATCCTCATCTCCACCTTTAAGTAACAAAATGAATGATCCAGATTTATTTATTCTATAAAATAATTATCATATTAAAATAAAAATAAAAATAACAATAAATTTAGATTATTAAAATTTGACCTCGTATACTGTTATTAATTTGTAATTAAATTAAATTTATTTATTTATTTTATTGCAGTTATAGCTATGTAGATTAAATTTTAATAGTTTAAAATTATTTATTTATTTTTTAATATAATATTATGATGCTTGTTTTATAAACTAATTGAATTTGAGTCCTTATTTTTCAAAGGTAGAGATGGGGACGAGGAGATAAAAAAGAATTGAGGGGACAGGAGAGGATCACCTTCCGATTGACTGCTATTCTTTTGATTGCATTTGCACCATATTACCCACGCGCGCGCCTATTACGCGCTGGCCTCCAATAACGTTATTGTGCAATGCTAAGGCCCAATAACGGTTTCCTCAAATTTGGGCCTCATCGCTCGCCAACATTCAACTTCTCTTTCCCTTTAGGATTTTGCGAAATTAATAATTTGTTATCATTTTCAACATTGTTTTATCTTATTATATAATTATTTAATTACTTACTTTATCTGTACATCTTGTATACTATTTAGAATTGGACAGGGAAAGATAATTTTATTGTGGATTGGATTGCAAAAACTTTATTAAGGAGTTCTCAATTTAAACTGAATTCTTAAGTGATAAACTATTTTACAATCTCTATATATTATTGAATTTAGCTTATTAATTTTTTTTGAAATGTATTTTACTATTTTCCTTTAAACTTTGTACTCCTACTTTATTTCTATTGAAATTCCTAAACTTCAGTTAACTAAAAAACTACTTATTTATATATTTTTTTTCCAAAAGAGTCGTCACTTAAACACAAAATAACCCTATCTTTTTCATATTTACTTCTATTTAATAAAGTGTTTTATTCTAAAATAAATATAAAATGATTTATTTAATAGAGATACTTTAAAAAAAAATGATTACATTTTAAAAGATTAAAAATGCCTTATCTTTTTAAATATCTAACCTTTTAAAAAAATATTTTATATTTTTGAATGAATAGAGTAATAAGTGATACCCCCTCCATCCCAAATTATAAGATATTTTTGGACAAATTTTCATATACTAATAAACTTCATTAAATATACTTAACAACCTTATTTTTTCAAAACAAAAATATAAACTTTTTAAAATATCCATCATTAAAATTCATTGAAAAGAAAAGGGACAAAAATTAATTATAGAGAGAGAAAAGGTGATATTGGAAACGGTACATTTAATGAAATCTTAATTTACTCAAAGTATTTTATATTTAGAGACGAAAAAATTCCTTTAAAAACGTCTCATAGTTTAAGACGGAGGTAGTATAATTTATTAAAAATAAATAGGTAAATGAATAATTCAATTCATTGTGTTATTATTAAAAATTATATATATTTCATACTTTAAATTCAATTTATTTCCTTACTTTTTTTTTGTTTTTTGTTTTTGTTGACCATGTGCAAAGCAGATACATTCATTAAAAGGGAAGTTCCAAGAAATCAAACAACAAAGCAACAGAAGCCGTAAGGTAAACAATAAAAGCATAGAGTAAATAAAATATTGAGCTAGACAAAATAAAAGATTAACAATTCCTTCCCAATATCTACTAACGTGAGGACGCTGATGATCAGAGTGCTGCGTGTTCAAATCCTTGGTGATGATAGACGAGGAGGAACCGGATTTGGGATCTCTCCATTTCTTTTCCCTCCATTTCCCTCATCCCCACCATTCATTAATTTATCACTTAAAAAATTATTTAATAAAATAATTTGAATGATAGGAATTGAAGAAATGAGGAAAAATGGAGGAAAAAAAAATAGAAAGACCCCTCTTCCTACCATTCTCTTTGAGACAGTGGCCACAAGCCAATCAGCAGATTGCAGCGGAGGACAACGGCAGTTATCATTACTAGCAATAAAAGATCATTACCAAGTAAATTGTGATAAATCCAGCTACATCTTTGGATCCTCACATTGAATCCGTTTTTTCTCAACTAAATTAATTCTCCAAACATCAATCTCCCACACTTACAAATTATTGAAATACATTATAAACATCAAATTTTATTGCTCTTCCCATGGACAACAAATCATTTCAATTTGAACTCTTTTTTAAAATATTTCAATTTTAGTTTGTTTCTCTCTGATCATTTTTGTTAAGGAAACATTGAAAATGTATATATTATTTTAATTCGTGATTTTATTTTTATTTATTTTCTTCACTTACTGTACAGAGATATTAGCTCCTTTGACATTTTAAAAACGGATTATCAGATTTTTCCAAAAATTTTGGTGGTTAGGTGACTACGTATTTAATTTTCCACCTCAGAAATTAAATTTGGTATGGGACATATTTTTGTTAATGTCATATTATATTATTACTAACATCAATAAGTAATTTGAAAAATATTACCTTAAAAATTTTAAAAAGTATAAATAAATTATATATATAATTTTTTCAAGTATTATTTGTAAATTAATAATTTTTTTTAATGAAATTCTTGCCTTTGGTAAAAAAAGAAAAACAAAGTCGTTGCCTCCTTTAACTGTAAATATTGTGAATTACTATCATACAACTTTAAAATCGGTAATTCAGGCAAAGCCTAATGAGTCAACCCGAATCCACCCCAAAAAAATAGGGTTGGGCTTGGATATATGATTTTTTTAAGAAGGTAGAATATTTTAAATTCAATTCGAATAAGGTCGGATCAAATTGAGCTCAACCCAAATAAGCTCAACCATTAAAATTTTCAATTATATATGTATATAGAGTTGGCAATTTTGGTCAAACCTGACTGGTCAGTCCAATCCCGACTGAAAAAAGTTAAGGCCATGTTTGACTATATGGACTTTTATAAGATGATGGGATACTTTAAGTCTAATTTAAATAAACTTGGTCAGGATTGAACTCGGCTCGAATAAGCTCGATTTGCCTGAATTACTGACTTTAGTTTCTTTCATTTATATTGGTAAAATGAAAATAGAAATTGTGGGGGCTTATTCACCAAAAAAGAAAAGAAAAGAAAAGAAAAGAAATTGTGGGGGCTCGGAATGATGCGACGGAGAATAGAAGAACTTAGCTCGGAATGACTATATAAAGACTCCATTTTACAGACTTGATATTCCTTCCGTTGCAGTCTAACTCTTATTTGTGTGGAAATTCAGAAGCGCTAGCGATGTTACGTCGCAGTTGGAGCTCGCTTCCCACTTACGGACTCCACCGAAGGGATGCTTCTACGGTGGATCGCAGGAGCAAACGCAGGTCTAAAAGCTTATCTGGGTGAGTTTTCGGAAACATGCCTAACATTTACGATTCTTGATGCAATGCATGATTATTTATGTATACTTGTTGAAAGTTATATATTAATGTGATCTTTCTTTAATTTCTCTCGTTATTCCCTCAAGACTTGGCTTGTTTGCTAGCTGTTTGATTTTTTTCAGTTCATTAAATTTTAGGTTCTTTTGTAGAATTTTGGTTGTTTGAATTTTGACGTTTCTCAATCTTGAATTCAAGAGAAATTATGAATGATAAAGAATTCTTTTGTTACCGAATTACCAATTCTTGACCATAAGAATTTCCAAATTGCACTACCCCGTTATTTAATCGTATCAATTATGCTTCAAGTCTTTTTGTGCGTTTATCTTTCAGTACTGTTAACGCACAAATATCTCTCATGGTGGCAGCCGCGAAACGAATAAAGAACTGAGCATGTTGGGTAGTTATGAGCGACAACACCAAAGAAGGCTCGCAAAACGTAGAACTTTGAGAGCCATTTTGAGTGCCATATTAGAGCTAAAGAATAGCATATTAGATGACTTGGAAGCCCGATTTCAAAGGATAATCGAAGATCCTTCAGTTGATATTGTAAGTGTGTGTGTGTGTGTGTGTGTGTAAAGGAAGGAAAAAAATTGTGACATAATGTGGCTCATCATTCTTTAAACAATCGCGTAAGGTAGGCATCCGTTTCGTGTGGAGGGTTCACATTACTTTGGCCTTGACACTGCCGACTATAAACATATATATATATATATATATATATATATGATCGCACATAGTATTATAATCACATTTATATTTTACGCCATTCAAGTATATGATATGATTACTGGCAATAAACTAACAAGTACTTAAGCACATGTGGATCAAACTTCTACGGTCCTTGATCATGCATTTGTAGAGCATATATATATTTTACACAAACGTTCACATATATAATAAGACTGGGACATATATAGGGGTGGGGTATGGTAATTTGTGATTTAATATTTAAAGTTTCCTTATGAAGTAATTAACTTTAAACTGTTAATTAATTGTTTGTTACTAACCAGTAGTGTTTTTTTTGTGAGAGCTGTTTGGTGATGATGGGCATTATGTATTATATATCGTTTCAGGATGAAGGGCAAAGGGTTCGAGAACATATGTGCAAGGAGATTGTTGAAGGAATTAGAAGTGAAAGGGAGAACGAATTAATAGCTTCAATAACTGCATTGGGAAGGAAGGAGGAAGAATTTCTAAACAAATTAGAGATTATTCGTACCATGCAATTGCTGCAAGTTGGCGGGACAAATGAAGAGCCTGAGACGGAATCAAACGCCGAGTCTTAATAATTTGACTTGCTTATCCGTTTAAATGTGAAGTTTTTGTTGATTTTAGGGATCATAAAGAGCTAGTTTTGTATGGATAAACCATGAATATGTAATATATATTGCTCATTAAATTCCATAGGAGAATGTAATAGTACTGCAATAGACGATGCAGGGGTTTGCTAAATTTTGGAAGGTCAATTGTGCAAATCAGAATGTAACAGCTCAGTCTGGCAATACCCTCTCTGTAGCCAAAGTTCTGAGCAGAGATCATACAGGAGAATTTCTTCAATGCGGATGTATAATATTCTGGCTTTATATATGGTTCAGCTTCTGGCTTGTAAAAAGGCTGCATCTATTAGTTCTGATTTCTCTGACCAAAACTGTGATTATTTGCAGAGATAGGGAAGGAACTGATTAAATTCTTACCTTTCATGCTTCTGTTTTCTTTGGTCCATATGGCTTTTGTTATCTTTGTTCCCTGAACTTGTTGATAATGATATATATTTCCCTGTTAAACTCCATTATCTTTTTCATCTCTGTTTGTAACTGCTTTCCACAATCTTTTTCATCTCTGTTTGTAACTGCTTTCCACAATCTTCCGCTGTAAGAATGTGTGTTTATTTTGAGATAGAAATCCCTCACAAAGGCAAATATCTAAGATATCTAGAAAAGATTCCTATTATTTTAAGCACAAAGCTAGTTGGCTAGGTCTGAATCTTTGTTCTGCGAAGGATTTGAAAAGTAAACGGCATTGTTAATGTTGTGTATCCCCGTATCTTCATGCATATTTTATATCTTATATGATTATTAATATCAACATTTTAAAAAAAATTTAATTATATATATTTGTGTTTTATTGATATATATATATATATATATATGGACCCAACATGCCTCTTGTAAAAGATTTTAGAAAATTATTCCTAGTGATTCTTAAAATTATCGTTTTTTAAATTTTGTCAAGAATAAATTTACCATTTAATTTTGAAAAGTATTCCAAGTCATTCTTAAAATTCTCACTTTTCTCAAAATTACAAATATAAAACAATTTTGTTATCTTAATTAAAAGATCAAATTATAATTCTACAAAAATGGTAATAATTTTAGAAGATTTCAATGATAACTTCGATCTCTCATAAAAAATTTAATTTTTCAAATATTTAAAATTTATTAATTTATCTCATAGGTCCTTAAATATAACTTCCCGATAATTAATGAAGGTGAGCTCCTATGAATATTGACATGCTTTGAATGGATGGGAATTAGGGAAATTCTATTGTAGAGAAAATGATTTTTCCCAGACCATCTTTAATGGGTTAACTTATTTAATACAGTAACGTGAGGTGATGGACGAAAAAGAATATAAAGCTTAGTTCATGTTTTCTTCTTTGGATCAAACAAATATATAAAGCTTTACCGCACAATAATAGAAAATATATTCATGTGACGCATCATTACGTTAAGGTGTAGAGTAGAAGTTACAAAATGCCATATGCCATATATATATATATATATATATACATGGTGGTGTGTAAGCCATAAGGCAAGCGAGGCAATTGCCTTAGACCTCCAATTTTTTTTCTTTTAATGCGCCTATTATACATATGCACATAAGATAGAGTAAGAGTGCTTTGTCAACACTAATTTTCATCTATCTATCAAATTAATCTAGTATTTTATTAGAATTACTATATTATAATATTTTAATATATGATTTTGTACCAAAAAAATTGAAAGGGGCAATTAGACTTGCAATGCTTCACTAATAATTTGCCTTAGTTATCAAAACTTCTTCACTCGCCCTGTGCGTGAGTGTGTAGATTGTGAAAAAGAAGCGCGCTGAGAAAGAAAGATAAGGACAATATCTTTGTCTGCACCTTTTCTCACCTAACTGGAAAAAAGGATCAGTAACCTACTTGCTATTTTCGCCATCCATGCGTACAATTCAAACTTTTCTGCGAAAGAAAGATTACACACACTGACACACATGTAATGATTGTTCTTGTATCGTTACTTTTACCCTACACCAAGAATATATATGTTGGCAAATTATAAGATATTAAATTTAACAATTTCATCTATAATAATTATCAGTATGTTGTGAATAGAAGGATTTTATTTGAGTTGAGTTTGTATCTAGCTAGTAAAAAGATAATTCAACCGAAATTTGCAAGTTGTTTCTAAGTATGACACGAAGATCCTACAAATATGCTTTGGAAGAATCAATATCGTATCATATAAAATACTATAGCTAAAAAATTCCGGACGTATAAGTGCACCAAATTACTACATATAAAGGAATCATATATAGATTTTTTTAGGAAAAATGGAAAAAAACTCTTTTTCAAATATGCAAATAACAATAAGATCTTACAAAATATGATCATTCTTCTCAAGTCTCTTAAAACCTTTCTAACATTAATATCATTTGTGAAATGATTATATTGGCCTTAATTTAAAATGAAAAAAATAGGCAATAACTACTTTGATTTAACTAATAATTACTTTTCTCTTAACAGTGACTAAAATGGGATATAACAAGTAATAAGTTTCACTCTGCAATTTTTAATCATTAGAGTGCAAGTGTTTTAAATATCAGTAACTATTTTTGTTTAAGTAATAATTGTCTTTCTTATATATGGCAATGACTAAAATGCGATTAGTAATTGCAACTTTTCCTTTGCTAATTTTTTAATTATTGAAGTCAAAATGTTGTAAATATTAGTGACTATTTTAATTTAAATAATAATCACTTTTATTCTGGCAGTGACTAAAACAAAAGCAAGTAACAAATTCCGCTCTACCCACCTTTTTATTTTAAATTGAAGGTATTAGAGTCATTTCAAAGAAGACAATAATATCAAAAAAATTACCACATCTTGCAAGACTTCATTGTCATTTACTCTCTCCGTTTAAAAATGTAAAGCCTTTTTAATCAAATTTCATCTTCAATAAAATAGTTATCTACTTTCAAACTAACACTATCTTTTCATATTTATCCCTATTAAATACTCTATAATAAATATAAAGTCATTATGAATATGAATACTTTTGAAAAAAAGACAATGATTATACATCAAAAGGCAAAAAATGTCTTACATTTTTTAACATTCAATCCCTCAAAAAATACCTTACATTTTTGAACGGAGTGAGTATATGTTTTAGGAGATCTTTCCTATTATTTTCCTTTTTGTTTTAACAGAAAGGAATAATATATAGTTAGATCAAACATTTTATAGCGTTTTGAGTAGAGACGGGGGAAGTTGAGGTTAGACACATTAATCTGTAAAATGAAAAAGAAAAATGACATGCAACATTACAAATATTATGGTAAATTGGTAATATTTGCCAGGAAGCAAATCTTCTAAAAGTTGAGATCATGAATTTTTGTGAAGTTTTTTGTTGTTTGATATTTTTCCTCACTTTATTATTTTGTCCCTCTTCTTTAAAAAGGTAAACTTCCTGAAATTTATAGTAAATTCTCAATTCTGAGGATCTATTCCCGTGGTAATATTATTAAGAGTACGGAGAAGAAACAGATTCTACTAAAAGCTAGGGACTCACCGGGATCTGAGGCATAGCAAAACCTAACAATCTTGTAGGATGCGAAACTGTGTGAGGTTCCTTAGCTTAAGCTTAAGTATAAGCCTCTTTGATTCATTTGTTTCCCTCTCACATCTCTCTCTTGATATCAACGCTTTATCTTCCTCATGCAACCTCTCTTGACTCTTAACCTATTTCTCTAACTTATAATCCTCACTCTCTCACTCCTCTTCCTTGCTCCTCCATTAACGCCTCCCATGGCTTCTCCATTCCCATCTTCATCATCCTCGTCTCTGTTCACATTGGTGGCTCTGTTTGTACTGCTTTTCCTGGTTCATCCTTCATCTTCTACCTCTAGATCGCGCGCTTTGATCAGATCACCCATCAGGCTCAATCTCCACCATGTCGATTCTGCTAAAAACCTCACCAAACTCGAGCGTCTTCAACATGGAATCAAACGTGGGGAAGCCAGGTTACAGAGATTCAACTCTATGATTCTCGCAGCTTCGTCCTCATCTTCGTCTTCTTCGATCCCACAAAGTTCTGATCAACTGGAGGCTCCTGTTTATGCCGGAAGGGGTGCTTATCTCTTGACCCTTTCCATAGGAACGCCACCAAAATCTTACCCTGCTGTCTTGGACACTGGAAGCGATCTGATCTGGACTCAGTGTAAGCCTTGTTCTCAGTGTTACAATCAACCCACTCCGATCTTCGATCCCAAATACTCGTCTTCCTTCTCCAAACTCTCTTGCTCCAGCAATCTCTGCTCTGCGTTACCTTCTTCTTCTTGTCACAAAAATACCTGCAATTATCTGTATTCCTATGGCGACTATTCCTTCACCAAGGGTTTTCTAGCCTCTGAGACTTTCACTTTCGGAGAGGACAAGAAAGATCAAGCTTCGGTTAAGAACATAGGGTTTGGTTGTGGGGAAGATAACGAAGGAGACGGGCTTGATCAGGCTTCGGGTCTAGTTGGCCTGGGTCGTGGGCCTTTGTCTCTGGTTTCTCAGCTAGAAGAACCCAAATTCTCGTACTGTTTAACTTCCATGGATGAATCTGCAACAAGCACTTTGTTTCTGGGATCGTTTCCTCATGTTAAAGGCTCAAAAGAACTACTCACTACTCCTCTTCTTCAAAACCCTGCGCTTTCGTCTTTCTATTATCTTCCTCTTGAAGGAATATCTGTGGGTGAAACTCGATTGGACATTGATAAATCCGTGTTTTATATCAAAGAAGATGGAAGTGGAGGAGTAATCATAGACTCGGGAACCACCATTTCGTACTTGGAGCAGGAAGCTTATGAAGCACTCAAGAATGAGTTCATATCTCAAACGAATCTACCAGTGTACGTTTCAGATTCAACTGGGCTTGATCTTTGCTTCGCTCTACCTTCAGATTCATCATCACAGGCTAAGTTTCCCAGTAAGTTGGTTTTCCATTTCACAGGTGCAGATTTGGAGCTTCCTACTCAGAATTTCATGGTGGCTGATTCAAGCTCCAACGTGGCTTGCTTGGCCATGGGAGCTTCAAGTGGCTTATCTATATTAGGGAACATACAACAGCAAAACGTGTTGGTGAACTATGATGTTCAGATGCAGACCGTTTCATTCGATCCTACACAGTGCGATGCGTTGTGAATAGTTTAGTTAATTAATTAATTAATTTTTTTTTTGAAATCTTATGGTTTAACTTGTTTGTAATAATATATATGAACTTTATCTCTGTCTTGATCATCTAATGGAGCAGCTAGCAGAAGAGACGATGTTCTTGAAGCTTGATCGTGGGCTCAATTATTGATTGCGTACGTTGTTTATCCGTCGTTATGTGTGAATAAAATTGCTATCTTCTTCTGTTTTCCAGACTCAATTGATACATCCTTGAATGTTTCTATTGTGTAAGTTGAAAGATTTCAATCACTTCACCTAATAAGAATGTACATACAGCAAGGTGGGCTCAATTATGTGGGACCTGCATTATGAGAAACCATCCGTTTTTATTTTTATACTTAGTATATATTATTTTCTTAATGTGGGCATCTGGTGACCCAAGCAGGACGCGCAGGTTACAAGATAATTTAATTTAAAAATTAATTTTTTAAAAATAATAATTAAAAAATAAAAATTATGCTAGGATTAAAATTTATATTAACATAGATTGATAATCTTTTTTTTTAAACTTAGTTGAAAAATTATATTTAACAGGAATATGTATACTCTTTGTATCTAAATCACTAAAATATTACATATCTAATAACTTTTTTAACTCAAATATTTTTTATTAGTCCAAATGGTGCAGAATATAAACACTATGAGTATACAATTGCAAAATTTACATATCTTACTTATAATTTTTCCAAATACACCCTTCATCACAAAGATATGGATCACATGCACTGAAAATGGTGCGGTGGCTGGGAAGTGGGGTAATTCTCATAATGTATTTTATCTAATGGCTAGAAAGAAAAATGTGTGTAAAAAAAGCTTCTTATCTGCAAAGCACACGATCAAGTTTATTAAAAAAATTTATAATTTAGTTATCAAAATTTTTTTATAATTTATTAAAAATCATATAAATTATAAAAAAATTATAATTTTGTTAATTACTAATTTGAATAGTACAAATTTAATTTGGATGGTCTATTAAAAAAATTTTATAAATTGACTATTTAATATACTTTAGGTGGTCTAGATTTAATTTAATTTTTTTATAATTTTTATATTGATAAATACAATTTTAATAGTAATGATAATATCCTAACTGAAACTTTACAAAAAAAATTGAAAAAAATTACAAATTAAAATTTTAAATCTGAACCATTAGTAAATCTAGATAATTATTTTAAAAAATTATTAAAATTTTAGTATTAAATTTGAACTATTTAAATTAGTTATGGACTGTCCAAATCAATTGGCAAATTTATTTAAAAAAATTATTTTTATAAATGACAATAGATATAAAGTGATCAAGTATTTTGCATATGAGAAGCCTTTTTATGCACCTTTTTCTTCCCAGCCATTAGATAAAATACATAATGAGAATTACCTCACTTCCTAGCCATTGCACCATTTTCACTGAATGTGATCCATATCCCTTATCACAATGTGGTTCTGCCGTTGAGCATAGCATCCTAGGATGGAACCTAGAATTTGCGGATACCACAAATGTTGAAACCACAAAAGGAATTAGATTTCTCCTTATGTCCATCCTACACTCACATGAGCAGGTAAATTTAGAAAAAAGAAAGTAAAAGAAAATAAAAACCTACTAATATGATCCTAGCTCAAGATGAATGCTGGCGGCATACTTAACGCATGCAAGTCATGAGGTAAATGCATTAAAAAAGGACAAATTTTAGCTAATCATGCTGCTACAATTGGTGGGAAGTACTATCTTATCCATTTATGCCAATGTCATTTTTATGTTTGATCTCAACCAGGAAAGATCCAAAACAGACTCTCCATTCATTAGATAGAGAAGATCACCAAGAGAAAAAAGATCTTCTTTCTAAAGAGATTTGATTCGGAACTATAATATGTCTAAGGTTCAATATTGAAATAATTTCAGAGGAGGGATTCACAAATCCTCTAGATATAGAGTGCGTAGGACCTGAAAAACAAACATGAGATAATAAATCTAGTCTTTTTCTAAGATTTTGAGTAGCTATCCCATGTGAGGTAGAGTTTTGTTTTTTGACGGTGATAGTGAAAAAGTTGACAAATAAGTCATGCTTACTGCCACTCTATAGAACTGTACAAGATTGGATAACAAAAAAAATTTCCATTAAAATCTAAAATCTAGAAAAAAAATATTTTAAATGTCGAAGTCGAATCAATTTAAACATTCTAGGGAGACAAGGCATGAGGAACCAAAAGACAAATTAGGTCTTCCAAAAGCCATGTCTAATGTAACTAAACCCAAAGCTAGTCTCTAGCATTTATTCTAAATTTTAGAAACTAAGTTGGAAAAGTTACTTGGTGTCTTTCCAACAGGTTAAGAAATTATTTTTTTGATTAGATGAAGTTGAAGTTTAGATGCGACAAGGTTAATTAATTCCTATATAGCTATTTGAATTTGAGAACTTTGGAGCATGGATATTTTTATGATAGCTTATATTCACAAAACTATTCAAAGACGGTGAGCAACATATATTCAACCTCAAAAATCAAAGATATATAATGCATATACCTCTTATATGCACCAAATCATTTATAAAAAGGCATAAAAAATGGACTAAAGGGCAAGTTTGCCCTGAAATTTTTCTCCAAAGACATTGGGTATTTTAAATTTTTGTTTGAAGTATTTTTTCCTTAAACTTTTTAAAAAGGGTGCTTTTCCGTCCTGACGTTAAATCCATCATTTGTTTATCCTCAAATCTCAAATTTGACCAATGGAAATGATATCTGGAATGTTTAAACCTTAGATGTGGAGTCTAAGTGATGACATGCCCTACATCTTTCTCTCCCTTTCATTCTTTGTCAAACTCTCTCTCTCTCCCCCCCCCATTCTTCTTCTTCTCGTTCCCCCTCGTTTCACCGTCACTCCCTCCTTTTCCACCAACGCCGCCGCCTCCTCCTTCTCCTATTTTTCATGTATTTCCCTCCCCCGTCAGCAAAGAACACCACCTACCTTGATCCATACCTCTGCTCCACGTACGACCCCAGAAGTCCTAAAGCGACGTGCTAAGATACGGCATGTTGAATTCCGACTCAATTTGGAAACTGAACACAACTTGATCTACAGTCATAAGCGCGGATGATCATAGCCAAGAGAACACGGTTCGTTGAACTCATTACCTTACACTTCTTTCTAATTTCCATTAGAAATAGGTGATAAAGCTTTATCTTTGAAGTGAGATCTCCACGTGTCACGCCCAAATCATGATCTCCCAGAAAATGAGGGTTGATGAATGTAAGAGTCACTACCAAAATTTAAAAGAATAATTTTAAAAACTTTTTAAAATTAATAAAATGGTCTATAAAAACTAGAATAGGGTTTGAAAGTCGGTTGTGCATGAGGAAGGTATTAGGCACCTTGCGACATCCATTTATAAGAATGGTTACCTTAAGTTGATTATATAAAATTAATTAATCTTTTAATAATATCTTAGTTATCCTTTATTGCACATGAAAAATAAAGATAAAAAATAAAGAAAAATAAATTATTTATTTACATAGAAGGACTTAACTTAGGATCAAAGTTTAAGGCTTATGTACCCTATGATAGGGATCAAAGTCCACGTAGTTTAAAATATTATTATTTAGGTTTTCTTTTAATTATTTATTAATTTATTTTATGAAGAGAGGGTTATTTTGTGTTACATAATTATATTTATTTTTAAATAAAAAAATGTCATAAGGAAGTACCTTTAGATAAAAGAAAAATAACCAATATTAAAACTTGAGGTGATTTATTATCATTTACAGTTTGTTAGTTGACACTCTAAGTGCACACGGTGATTTAATATCACTCATGGCAAACCCTAAAGAAAATTTCAAAGTGAATTTGCTATAAAATAAGTTAATTTTGAAACTTTAAATATAAAATTAGATACTTGTGATGACTTAGTGTCATTCATAGTATCTCATTTGATATTTTTAGGAATTTATGGTGATTTAGTATCACTTATGGGATAACCTAAAATATGCTAAAAGTTTGATTATTTTATTATTTTTTAATAATGCATAAGAGAGGAAAATTTAATAAATATTAGAATTTACAGTAATTTAGTATCACTTACAGTCCACTAGTTGATGCTTCTATGTGTACACAGCAATTTAGTATTATTCATGATAAACTTTAAAGAAATTTTTAAAGTAAATTTTCTATAGAATAATTTAATTTTAAAATTTTAAATATAAAATTTGATACCTGTGATGATTTATTGTCATTCAAGGTATCAAATTTGACATTTTTAAAATTCACAATGATTTAGTATCACTCATGTTATCAATGTATCAAATACTTGTAGTGATTTAATATCACTCATGTTACCCCATTTTTTGAGGGGAAAAAGATTAGAAGAATATTTTATCAAAAGGACTATGTAATAAATTGTAATAACATTATTCTCACAACTTTTATCAAAAGAAAAAGTAAAATAATAATAATAATAAGAAAAATGAAGGATCAACGTCATATTGGTTTATAGCACTTTCCTATATATAAATTGATGATTCTAGGAGGTTAGGTACCATACCATTTTAGGAGAAGCTCACAGCAAAAGATCCACGGTGATTTGAATTAATAAACAAACAAAACAAAAGAAAAGAAAAACAATAAACAATGGAGAGGCAATTTGAAGCAAAGCCAAGAACATATACAAGGAACCTAGGCTTTAGAATACTAGATGCTAACACTAGGGTAAAAGCAAATATGTGAAGTTCAAGAATAAGGAGCCCACAAATCAATGGTTGTACGTGCATAGGGGAAGAGTTTCAATAGAATTTAGATATTGACTCGAGAAGGTTTAGTTTTTCCCATTAAACACGCAAAGCTAGAGGAATGAAAAAGAAACATTCACCTCTAACACTTTGCCAATGCTTTCTATCGTCTCCTCCCAGCCTTCCTTTCTTTTTTCTCTCCTCAAATCTCTTCTCTATCCTCCTCGTTTTCTCCTTCACAGCTATTTCTTTTATAGGTGCTAACTAGGGTTCTATTATGTAATAATAGAATTAAACAAAAAAGGCAATATTTATTTTGAATCTTTTTTCATTATTTTAGATTTTAATTTTTTAATTAATTAAAAATAAATCCTAGTCAAAGCATAATTTTCTCAAACTAGATTTCAAATATTCTAAATTTTCTTTTTAAAAAAAGTCAAATTTAATGGGAACATAATTAAGGGGATTTGGAGTAAAAAAACATATTATTTTTATCATTATCACAAAAGGCCCCTTTT